TTTTCCAAATATAATAAAAGACATAAACCATAATTCAAGAAAATCACAATATCCTGGACAGAATGTGCACACACAGATCATATTCAAACTTCCAAAAACCAAAGATAAAGAAAAAATTTTGAAGATAGTGAGAAAAAAAGGATACATTACACACAGAAGAACAAAAGTAAAAATGGAGATAAGATGGAATTATGAAAAAGAAAATCCAAAATCAGGAAGATAAAGAAGAAAATAGGAATAAAGAACAGGTGGGGCAAATAGGAGACAACTAACAAGATGGTAGATGTTAGTCCAATCACCACAATTTACATTAAATGTAAAGGTTCTAAGTATAAAGTTAAAAAAGACTGTCAGATCAGGTAAAAAAGCAAGTGCCATCTATAGAGAAAGACACTTGAAATATGAAGTCATAGACAGGCTAGGAATCACTCTTGTTATCTGGCAGATTGATTAAAAGTATTTTCTTATTCCCCTTCACATAATTCTTTTAACCCTAGAGACTTTGCTTTTGGCCACCTTTCAAGTGAACATAAAAGGCAAGAAGACATTTAGAAATCCATTCTGCTCAAGGTGGTTGTCTGTTGTTTCTCCTATTACAGTGTTAGTATTACTTAACTTGCTTATACCCTCCTCTTGCATCACATGGAGCTTGCTGAGGGTGAAAATTCCTTTGAAATTCTTCTAACCTTTGTCTGTTCACTTTGGCCTCTTTCTTGGCCACAGTCTTTTTCATTTTCTTTTCTTTTTTTTCAGGGTTTTATATACTATTACCATTTACAGAGTATTTTTGACTTTTCCTTTTGACAAAATTTTGACTCTTGTGAGCACTTGCTTTTTTTCAAGTTTCAGTTTTTAGAATGTTCTGGGCGATCCACTATCTCTCTGTAAAAGCATGACCATGTATCTTTTTACTGCTTTAAGTCTCTGGGGGAAGAGAGTAGTTGAAAAAGGGTAATGTACCTATTTTCCCAGAAGGATTTTCAAAGACACTGTTTCCTATGGCTCTTTTGAAATATCTTTTTTTTCATTTTTTAAATTAGTCTCTTTAACACACGGAGATTTTTGCTCTCAAAGATGTAAAACCAATAGATCAGTTCAAATGGACAGCTAAATTTAGCTGGGAAAAAAAATGGGTAGTTCTTCATTATCAGTCAGTTGTAGTTAATCGTGTGTGTGTGTGTGTGTGTGTGTGTGGCCAATCAGAAATTGGATGTAGGCAGTTCTCTCCTGATAACTTTGATCCAATTCAGGTTCTTAGAGCCAAGCAAGTCAGTTTTAAATGAGAGAGAGTGATGGTTTAGAAAATGGAAAGAACATAGTGTTCTTTAGTTCATGTTCTTAATAACAAAACAGGTTAGGTCTAGGTGTCGCCTAGAGTCTTATGTAGGTGGAGATAAAATGTGACTACAGCACTCTCAAACTTTTCCAGCAATATACTGAAAACAGGTTTTCTGAGTGTGAGGGCAATCTGACTTTGACCTCTATCACTGCTCTGATCTTCAGAGTTGATTTAATCCACCTGGTGGCTAGGAGGGTATCCCCTTCCTCTCTCACTCCATGAGTGCTCAGGAGAGGACTATCTTCCCCCATGGAGGAGGACCATTCTTTAGTCAAGGGCATATGAGTAGTTGTGCTTCCCTGCTGGAACCTCTAAACAAGCCTTCAAGGTCCATTTGCAGGAGAACATAGGGTAGTCACATCTCCAAGACTCCAGACACATCCAAATATGGTGCTGCATGTGTCTATCTGCCTTTCTTTAAAAAAAAAAAAAAGTGAGAAAACAAATTTCCTCATTCACAAGTGTGGATATGTTTATAAAATGTTCATTTTATTGTCTGTATGATTCCTATGATGGTATATCAGGCACCCTATCCCACAGCTGGAATATTTTGACCTCAAATTATTATTATAACAAATAAAAGTGTGATTTAGAAAAAAAGCAATAAAAAAGCATGCCTGACTTAATAAGGAAGGAAAGAGATGGAAGGGAATGTGGAATATGAGGATAATGATGGAAATTAATTTAAGGTAGGTTTCAAAAGGTAAGAGACCTGAGGCCCACAGCCTGCCCTTTGCAATGAATTTTTCTGCTTGTTCTGTTATTTGAGATGTTATATTCAACATATCCTACCATGTGTTGGGTAGGTTAGGTTGAAAGTTAACATATTAATAGTTATTAACAAATATTAACAGTTATGAGAGAAAAAATCCTAAGTGTTTGACTTTAACAAGAAAATAGCTTACTTGAACAGTGGACTGGAGACACCCCCAATTGTGGAAGCTGAAGAACCCGGTACGCATGCTCCTTCCACGGACAATTTCTTCAAGTTGTCTATTTTATTAATAAGTAGCTACCAGACTTTAAGTCTTGTCTGTAAAACTGAAGTGAGAAAAGATGCTTCAGTCAGACTCTAATCTGTGCTTTTCTGGAGGAATGACAGGCAAAAAAAAATCCTTAATCAATCGAGTTTCAAATACATCATTTGTTGTCTGGTGGTACTAGTAAAAACAACTGAATAAATGTGTGTGTGCGCGCGTGCGTGTGTGTGTGTGTGTGTGTGTGTGTGTGTATACAAATGGCTGAGTTCATCTCACAAGTCACCATACTAATATAGAGTTCAGTAGAGATTTTCCTAGAGGCAGCTGGCCTACATACCTACATTCAGTGGCTGGTTTTCCTACTTTGCTTGTGGGATAATGGGCAGCTGTAGGATATTGTGTTTGAAGAGAAACTGTTGACAGTAAGTTCTGTCTACATCTGAGGCAACGAGGCAGCTCCTTGCCGTGACCTTGTCTGTAGGCCTGAACTCTGCTGTCCCTGCCCGGAACCATCACTCTCCTTCAAAGCATGCTGTGGCTGTCAGCTCAGTTCATTAGAAGCCATTCTGTGAACATGGGCACAGGAGGTAGCGGTGTCCTTAGGGCGTGACTGATTGACCTGATGGTCCTGCTCTCTTCCCAGGCAAAAGTAGAGAAGGCTGTACTACATATCTGAAGACTGGGGCCCTTGGAGATTCAGGGTGAACTGTAAGGCGGCTGGAAGTGGCATTTGTGAAACTTTTTCTCTGGGTCATTATACTGGGACACTTTCACAACTTGGGTGTCCATTCCCATACCTATTCTGATACTGGTTTAGTCATTCTGATATAGGGGGACATGTGGAGACTACCTACTGATGGACACACAAATTACAAAAGGGGTTGTCCTCCTGCAGGGACTTTTGGTTACTGTTTGTCCACTTATTTTTACAAATTCATTTATTCAACAAATATTTATCAGATGCCTGCTTTGTGCCAGATACTGAGCCAGGTGTGGACTTATAACAGTGAACAAGATTGACATGGTTTTTGTTCTCATGAAATGGAGAGAAAACAAATAACCAATAATTATAAGAATTGCAAAGGATAAAATAGGGTACCATATTAGAAGATAATGAAAGGAGGAGCAGTATTTAAAATAAAAATAAAAAGAGGGTGAGAGAAAGCCTTTTGTAGGTGGCAGCATTTAAATTACTACCTGGATTAAAAGGATCCAGACATATGAGGTACACGCTAGGCAGTATAAAAAACTTGGGTAAAGACACTGAGATAGGAAAAGGCTTGATGTGTTTTGAGAGCAGAAAAAGGACAGAATAGCTGGTGCCCAGCAATCCAGAAGATGGTGTGAGATGAGGGAGGCAGACACCAGATCATGTATGCCTTGAGGACCATGTAAAGATGTAATAGACTGAAGGGGATTATGGGATCAGAAACTTAGTTGGAAATAGCCGTTTAGAGTTGGGAGATGCCTTCTTAGGGACATGAATTTGGAAGTCATCAGCATTTTAATGGAAAAACCACAGGAATTGAGTATAACCTAGGAAGGGGCTGTAGAAAGAATAGAGGATGGCCTGAGAAAAGAAGACCTGGATAGGTCAGGGGCTGGCAGAGGTGAGAAGGTAGAAGGAAAGCAAGGAGATAGTAGTTCTCTGGAAACCATAGAGGAGAATGCTCAAAGAGAGAGGGCTGACTGTGTCACTACAGCTGAAAAGTCTGGAGTATCACTATTTAGTATGGTAGTCACTAGCATGTGGCCATTCAGCACATGTAAGTGGTTCAAATTGAGATGCGTTGTTGGTGTAAAATAAAATGCACACAGGATTTTGAAAATGGTACAAAAACAAGAATGGAAAATAGTTCATTAGTATTTTAAAGTAATGATTACATGTGGAATGATAATATTTGGGATTTATTGGGTTAAATTTATTATTAAAATTTCACTTGCTTCTTTTTACTTTATAAAAAGGTATCTATGATGGGCTGGAGTTGTGACTCAGTGGTAGAGTGCTCGCCTAGCACATGGGAGGTGCTGGGTTTGAACCTCAGCACCACATAAAAATGAAATGGAGGGCTAGGGCTGTGACTCAGTAGTAGCACACTTGCCTGGCATGTGTGAGGCACTGGGTTTGATTCTCAGCACCATGTATAAATAAATAAGATCTAACAACACCTGAAAAAAAATTTTAAATTAAAAAAAGCAAAATGGAGATATTGTGTCCCCCTACAACTATAAAACAAACAAACAAAAAAGGTATCTATGAGAAAAATTTAAATTACATGTGTGACCTACAGTGTACTTGTATTGCAGTTGGCAACTTGGAAGTCATTAGCAAACTTGATAGCAGTAGACTACCTGAGATTAAGTAATACCCAGCTAATGGTTTATATGCCAGTGATACTAACTCATCATCATCATAATTCCATTTTACCTAAAATTAAATAACAAAACTTACCACCAAAATGTCACCTACACTTTATGATGTGTGTGCAATCTAATTTTACATAAATTGACAATATGTGAGTGTTTAAATGAAATCCTTTGAAGTCAAATCTGAAAGGTGTTTTAAAAATTCTTTTAACCTATATTTTCTTTCTTTCCTTTTCTTGTTTTTTATTTTTAATTTTTATTTAAATTCTTAATTTGTTTTTTATTTTTATTTTTATTTTTGCATATCTGGCCAGGAAACTTCATGGTGTTATGGTCAACTTGCCGCACAACCGTGTTCAAATCTGTCACCAACAGGTTCATTAAAAACCTGGCCTGCTCGGGGATCTGTGCCAGCCTGGTCTGCGTGCCCTTTGACATCGTCCTCAGCACCAGTCCTCACTGTTGCTGGTGGATCTACACCATGCTCTTCTGCAAGGTCGTCAAGTTTTTGCACAAAGTGTTCTGCTCTGTGACTATCCTCAGCTTCCCTGCCATTGCTTTGGACAGGTAAGTTCAGGTTGCTAGGGGCTCAGCCTTTATTCAAAAAGTATATTGAAAACTGAGCATCATGAACCAAATGATGAATAGTCAATGTTCCATATGCTGCTTTTTAGTCTGCTTGTGGTAAAAAAAAAGGGGGGGGGATGAATGTCTAAAACACAGCCTCACAAAGGATGGATTGATTTGCAGCAGCCATGGAAAATAAGATCCTTACAAAAAGACATGGCATGGGGTTATATGGTGAGGATGCTAGAGCAGAGCTACTGGATCATGGTGTCACATCATCTTGGTTGGAATTGGTATTGCATTGCAATTAAAAGTAGATTGCTCATCTGATTGATAATGTTGCAATTAGGGATCTTTGATGCAGGATGAAAACATTTCTGGAAGAACAAGAGAATGATTCAGTAGTTACTTAACAAATGGCCTATTTGGACCTCATCAGATAACACTAGAATTCCTCTGGACAATTTAGATCCAAGGCTTCATATTGTCATGGTGGTGGTTTTTCCATGTGATCATTTTTAAAAGGATATTCATTTGGAAATGAATCTTATTCTTAGTTATTGCTATCTTTTATAATTTGGAAGCCAGAGTCCTTGGCTCAAGTTCACACTCTAGTGGCTGCTCTAATGCATTTGGTGTTGAACTGCTTGTGTCTGTGAGAGATGTATTTTCCACTGCTCCTTGTATTGTCTGGTCTGGTGAAATCTTTTTCCTTTTGAGATGAGGTCTTGCTGTGTTGCCCAGTCTGGCATCTATTTCCTAGGTTTAAGCAGTCCTCCTGTTTCAGTCTTCCCAGTAGCTAGGCTGGTAGGTGTGTGCCACTGACCTGGTGGAATATTAAGTTTTCAGCTTTGTATCACACATCTTCTTTCCTGGAAGTTTTTGTTTTAAAGTGGTTTTGGGATATAATTTACATATTAGAAAATGTAGCCATTTTAAAGGTACAAGTAAATGAATTTTAGAGTATTTATAGAGTTGTGTAGTCAGCACCCTCCCAATGGGCACTTTGTGGTCATCAAATTTTTGCACAAAGTATTCTGCTCTGTGACTATCCTTTGTGCCCATTGAAGTCACTTCCCATTCCCATCCCAGACCTAGGCAACCACAATCTACTTTCTGTCTGTCTCTCTATGTTTGCCTTTGTTTGAATATTTCATTTAAGTGGAATCATATAGTATGTGTTCTTTCACATGTAGCTTCTTTCACTTGGCATGTTTTCAAGGTTTTACCTATATTATAGCATGAATATTCATTTTTATGGCTAAATAACATTTCATTGTAAGGTAAACCACATTTTGTTTTCCTATTTATCAGCTGATGGACATTGGTTTGTTTCCACTTTTTGGCTGTTGTGAATAATGCTGATATGAATCCTGAAAATTTTTAATCATAGTTTTCAACAAGAGTGGGGACATCTTATACTGAATAGTTTTTTACTATACCTGGAAACAGTGCAGTAATTTCTGGGCCTTATTCTGGGCCCTGATCTTAGATATAGAAATATAAAAACAAAAAGAAATCCTTATTATCTTTACATCAGAAGAACTTTGCATTTTTACCTCCATTAACACAAAAAGATAAACAAGTTCTTTTAGTAGAAAAATAAGATGGGTAAATTTCTGTTTTATTACACAGAAGTTATTTTCAGGAACCAGCATGGTGTGCATGAGGGAGAAGGGAAGACATCCTTTCATTTATTTCACAGCTATTGGTTTCATGGCACCAAGTTAGCAAATTAATTGAAAGGCCACCCACACTTCCTGCATCATCTTCTAGAGATGTATTTATAAGAGGACTATGTGCTTGTGTTGTAATACATAATGGAATAAACAATTGATGGGGGCTTGGGTTTGTTCATATGAGTGAGGAAATGTAAGCAGAGCTAGTAGACTTCTGGGTATGCATTCATGTGTGTGGGTGGAGTCATCACATGTTTATAGACTTGTGATTGGAAATATTGATCTGTATTAAGGAAAAAGTTTTTTGAGAGTATGCCTCATTTATGCATGTCTTTCTCTTTCTTTCCTTACCAGAAAGAAATCTAGAACACATTTCACCATGTTCCATCCTTTCCTGATCATCCATGGTCACTGTTGTGCTCTCATCACGTCTCAGTCTGGGATGTTCCTCCCTGCTGTCCCCCTGCCAGACTCCATGACAATGCTGCTTTCTCTTTGATATTTTCCCAGGTAGCTCTAGGTGTCCCTGTCCTGTACCTGCCTCCAGTAAAGCCATCACTTCCTTGTTTATAATTTTTCATGTACATGTCTTTCTTCCCATGGAATTTAGAGACATTCTGTGCATCTTCCATATTTGTAACCCAGGAACTGCCACAGGACAGGTACAGAGATGGTACTTGTCATGCATGCTTATCTGGCTCCATGAGTGAGTGAACATCACTGTGTTGGGAGGTCAACTCCAATATTAGCTAACAGAAGAGACATGGGCTGAGTTCAGATGAAGACACTCACCATATCTCTGATGGAAGGTGGCAGCACCTTTATAATATGTGTGGCTCTAGAATGAATTACTCAGTTTTCCCAAATCTCTGTTGATAATAAAACAAAGTGCATTTGTTTGAGAGGTTATAGAATCATCAAGCTAAAGCTTAGAAGGAAAAAAGTCTCATCTGGTTTTAGCAAAAAGTTAATCGTGCCAGCATTTTAATACTATCAATTTCTCTTAGAGTTATCATGAGAACAATGGCAATTGAGGAGGCATAATTTTTGTTAGCTGGGACTTGTTGGAATCCAGACTTCACCCAAGTTCTTCTGCCCTGAACTGCTTTGAATGCTAATGATATCCACTGCATGGTCTGCTTTGAATATGTGTGTAGACAAATTTCTTCTTGCTAGTGGCTTAAAAAATTTCCCTGAAGAGTCTCTCATCCATGTAAAAATGTAATGTTACCTTTTACCCTTAAAGTGGAAAATAGATGTATTTACAGCTCATTTATTTATTTTGGTGTACTGATGCTATGATACTTCTTAGTGCATGATAGAGTTCTCAAAACTTAAGGTCTAGCTTTCTGGATTCCTCTAGTGGTTTCCTGGCTTAAGCCAAAGAAAAGAACCTGACCCTTTCCCCCATCTTGCCTACTTTTGGTAATTTGTTTTTCCTTAATTGGCAGAGTATCTTCTGTGAAATTAATTTTGATTGTGTATTGTGCAGGTACTACTCTGTCCTTTATCCACTGGAGAGAAAAATATCTGATGCCAAGTCCCGGGAACTGGTGATGTACATCTGGGCCCATGCAATTGTGGCCAGTGTCCCTGTGTTTGCAGTGACCAATGTGGCTGATATCTATGCCATGTCCACATGCACTGAAGTCTGGAGCAATTCCTTGGGCCACATCGTGTATGTTCTAATCTATAACATCACTACGGTCATTGTGCCTGTGGCTGTGGTGTTTCTCTTCCTGATCCTGATCCGACGGGCCCTGAGTGCCAGCCAAAAGAAGAAGGTCATCATAGCAGCGCTTCGGACCCCGCAGAACACTGTCTCCATCCCCTATGCCTCCCAGCGGGAGGCTGAGCTACATGCCACCCTGCTCTCCATGGTGATGGTCTTCATCCTGTGCAGTGTGCCCTACGCCACCCTGGTTGTCTACCAGACTGTGCTCAACATCCCTGACACTTCTGTCTTCTTGCTGCTCACTGCCATTTGGTTGCCCAAGGTCTCTTTGCTGGCAAACCCTGTGCTTTTCCTAACTGTGAACAAATCGGTCCGCAAGTGCTTGATAGGGACCCTGGTGCAGCTGCACCACAAGTACAGCCGCCGGAATGTGGTAAGTACTGGGAGTGGGGTGACTGATACCAGCCTGGAACCCAGTGTGCGCTCGGGCAGCCAGCTCCTAGAGATGTTCCACATTGGGCAGCAGCAGATCTTTAAGCCCACAGAGGATGAGGAAGAGAGCGAAGCCAAGTACCTCAGCTCGGTTGACTTCCAGGCCAAAGAAGTCACCTGCCTGGAGGGACAACAGGGACCACAGTTTGCACGCCCCACGCCACCCCCAGGCGCAGTAGATTCTGTATCCCAGGTGGCACCAGCAGCCCCTGTGGAGCCTGAGACATTCCCTGACAAGTATTCGCTGCAGTTTGGCTTTGGACCTTTTGAGTTGCCTCCTCAGTGGCTGTCAGAGACCCGAAACAGCAAGAAGAGGCTGCTTCCCCCCTTGGGCAATACCCCAGAAGAGCTGATCCAGACAAAGATGCCCAAGGCAAGCAGGGTAGAGCGGAAGATGAGCAGAAACAACAAAGTGAGCATTTTTCCAAAGGTGGATTCCTAGCAAGGACTGTAAATCCCTGGAAGTAACAGAGAACTTCTACATTCCTGCCCTTCCTTCACTGTGACCATGAGTTCTGAGATCTCATTGCAACCCACTGTAGGGTGAATCCTTCTGTATAGGCCAAATGCTTTTGAATGAAAGGGAAATCTATATAAAATCAAAATGTCTGTTTATTGAAGGAGTAGACACATTTGTCTCAGTGATCCTTGTGCTCAGTAAAGTCTACATTCCTCTCTATGGGATGAAAGTTAGGCAGATTGGAACAAGTCTTGGGTGAGTGCTCCATGTGCATTTCTGGGGGAGTTCTCATTTTCCTGGGCTCAGAAGAGAACACACATAGAGGAATTCCACAAGCTCAGAGGGAGCAGAAACACTAAGGGAAGCCCAAGATAATTTTGGAGTGGAGAGATTACAAAGAAGATGCATATTTGGGTAACTTAAATAAAACAAATAGAAAACCCTTTTGTATTGAGAAGATAGGGTCATGGCATCTGGCATTGTTTCCCTGAAAGTTCCAATCATGTGTCTCACTATTTCTCCCCATATCCTTCATCCCTCTAATTGGAGTATAAGTAAGGGATGACAATTCCACCTCTGTTTGACAAATATGACAATAGATGTGTTCAGGGGACAAGGGAGATTTTTGTTTTTGATTATACTGACATTCTTTTGACATCATCAGAGCCTCAGAAAAATGGACCTGCACCATTCTGTCATGGCCAGTGTTAGCTGGAAAACACTGCAGGCTTTTAATTAAGGTTTCTTTCTTTCTTTCTTTTTTATTAAACTGTATTTTATTAACAAATGAGAGAGAAACTTAGAGGTAGAGAAGAAAGATTGAGAGGTGCCCATGGCACTGTAGTCTTTTCTCCTCCACATGATCTCATATGAAAGATGCTGTTTCACAATCAGTATGAGTAAAGCATATTGGAAAAAAACATGTTATGGAAACTTTTGGCATTAAAAGGTGGCTGAGAAATGCAAAGTTAGCATGATCTGGGTTCTTTGGAAACATCAACTAAAAATAATTGATTAGGAAAGCTGATTCTGCCCAAAAGACTGGCCAGAGTGACAAAAATGACTCTCTTCTGAGAGAATGGATCGGCATGCCAGTCTCATTTTCAATGTGTTGTACAATTGTAGTTCTCACAGACAGAGCCATGAACGGAACAGGGAGAAATAATCATTGTAAAATGCCAAAGCAACACCTAGACCAGGCAAGCTCTTTATTTCCTCCTTCCCAGTGAAGTTTTAGTAGGAGCCAGAGTGGGTGGAAGAAGGAGGGCAGCGTTCTCAGCTCATTAGTCTCCTGGTGGCTCTCATCTCTTCAGGCTGAATTCAGACCTAAAGCTTCACTTTTAATGAGGACAAATCAAGTGCCAGCCTACTCTTCTCTCTAGAGGGTTTTGTTCCTGTTAATGGTAATTACTTGGGGGCTACAATCTGGTGCCTTGAGCAAGCTTGAAGGGAAGTGGGTGGGTGTCCTCCCTGGCAAACTTCCACATCCCAAAGGCAGTGGTCCTAACACACCCACTACTTTAAGCACAGTGAGCCCTTGTTCCCTGGAGGAAGCTCAGAGGATGTGTAGGGAATTTCCTTTTCTTTTTTCTCTTGAGTGTTATGTCTTGTGATTCCTGAATGTGAAGCCAAGGATCTTCCCTGCAGAGGAAGCACCTTCTTCTCTGTGCTTCTCACCTTGTAGCCTTGTTTGCTCACAGCAGAAACAGGGGACTGGCACCTCTTTTGAGGCTTTCCTGCCTCCTGGACCCTGTGTGCATGCCTCCATAGTTCCTGGCCCTGGTAGTCCATGTTGTGGCCCTTTAAACTTATCTCTCAAAGCCTCATAACTGTTACAGCTTTTATCAAGGGGAAAAAACAATGTCGGAAAATTCTGTCCACTTTACAAGAATCTGTCAAAAGTATTTATTTGGGTGTTGTCCTGATAATATAAATGTGTTGCTAAATAAATTCTGATGAAGTAGAGTTTGGTTGGGTGTATTTCTTATGTATATTTGAAGCAGATGGTTGACTTCTAAAGGTTATTGCCAGGTGTATTTCTATACTTTTTGAAGAATAATATTTTAAAAATTAAACAGCCATTTTTGAACCACCACAACAAAAAGTTGTATGAGCTATGCTTTTCTCCCTTCTTTTCCCTCTTGAGTATTATACCATCTAAACCTCTTTTTTCCTTCATGGTCTCAAATTAAAGTTATTCAATTTTTCCCCACAAATGCAAATGCCACATTGCAGCAGCATTTTTCTGTGTTTTTTGCAACTGGAAGAGAATGAATTCCCAAAGAAGAAAATGCAACATTTGAATAAATGTCATAAAGGCGAATTTTAAATTGAGTCAGCAGATGGACTGCCCTAATCTTTTTTTTAAAAAAATATTTATTTTATTTTAGTTTTAGTTGTAGTTGGACACAATACCTTTATTTATGTGGTGCTGAAGATCGAACCCAGGGCCTTGCACATGGTAGGTGAGCGTTCTACCGCTGAGTCACAACCCCAACCCTGGATTGTTCTAATCTTTAGGTGGAGTTGCACAAGGGAAGACTGGACTGACATCTGTATCCTGCAAAAGAGATGGTCACTAGCATGGTGGTGGGGGCCTTGACCTCCAAGGTCCGATTTCTCATGTTCAAATCCTGGGCCTATTGAAAGAACGAACAAGGCTCGCCATAGGAGAAAATGCCAGTTTATTGAGGAACAGCTCTGCATATTTATGGAGCTGGGGGTGGTTTGACAGTTATGACAGTTTAATGGTTGAACGGTTTGATAGTTGGCCCTGGTGTTTTCTGATTGGTGGGTAAGGATCATGTGAGCCAGCAGGGCTCACCATTGGACGGCAGGATCATGTGAGCAGCAGGGCTCACCATTGGATGGCTCTTCTTGAGGGATGAAGAAGTTAGTCTTTGGAGCTGAGGTGACTCCCAACATTTCCCCCTCTTTGTTATTAAATGAGAGTGGGCGTCGACTCATTGTGGATGCTTCCTGCTGTGATGGGGCAGCGTGGGAGAAAGAGAGGAGGGAAGTAAGGAGCTCCCACGGGAGGGCAGAGAAGACTGGTATCAATGAAGGTTCCTTGCCACCACAGATCCATGATGTTTTCAGTCCATTCAGCATAGGTCTCAACTGGAGGTATCATCAGTAGCCAGGAGTTGGTAATTCCTGAGGAGAAGCTGGTTAAAAGCTTGATTAGAAATTTTACCCACCTGAGTCTGAATGAACTTTATGATAGGGGGAAGGAACAAGCACAGGGAGTTTTTATAGCCCAAATCTAATGGGGTCTCTGGGTCTGCAAGCTGCCTTGTTGGCACAGGGAGGTTAAGTGTTCAACCTTGAGTGGGGGGTTGAGTGTTCAGCCTTGAGCGGGGGCTTGGGCGTTTGGGCTTGAAGCAAACAGGTGATAAAGAACCAGACAGAGTAGGGCTGGGGATGTAGCTCAAGCAGTAGCGCCCTCGCCTGGCATGTGTGCGGCCCAGGTTCGATCCTCAGCACCACATACCAACAAAGATGTTGTGTCTCCCGATAACTAAAACAAACAAACAAACAAACAAAAAAACAGACAGAAGGTTTGAGAAGCCAGGTCATTCTGCAGCTTACTTTGTTTGGCATGCCCTGCAGATCAGCCTGTCCTTCACCTAACACCCTCAATTCCACTCTTCATTCCTAGTCTAATCTAGCTCCCTCTCTATTAAGGCTGCTCTTCAAACTCTCTCCTACCTGGGTGTACCAGCTTGCTTCTCTCTTTGCCTTTCTTGAAGGCAGCCAAGGGAGGACTGTGGCCCATTGTTACCATATTTCCCTTTGAGAGCAGTCAGATMTCTCCAGGTTTTATGTGAAACACCTCAAATTTAAATACTGATACTTGAAATTCTTATGAAACTGGGAGGGTAAACCAAACACACATGTTCCTACTTAGGCCCAGAAGGCAACTGGTAAAGTGCTCTCTTATGATCACACTTATTCAGGGGTCACCATACTCTGGACACCTAAGTGGTTTGTCAGAAAGACAACACACAACGGTCCCACTACCGGCCAGATTCAAGCAAGTGGGGGGGTCTGGCTGGAGGGGGGCCCTTAGGGTCACTTGCCTTGAATCTTCAGACATAGTAAGAAGAGAGGACCCAAGAGGGGCCAGAAATGAGGGGGAGCATTGACAAGAGTACTTAATGACAGGTGACGATTGTTGGCTCTTCTGATGAAGGTGTAGGAGTGCCGGGCTTAAGCCTGGAAATATGAATCCATGGGGTAAGTTGTTACTAGGTAGTTTGAGTTTGGCCGCCAAGGGAGTGCACATAATCACCTGAGCAGGACCCTCCCATTTTGCTTTTAGAGGGGGCTTTTTCCCTGGTGGGCAATAGTAAACAAGTTGACCAGGTGTTAAGGAGGTAGGGTTTTGAAAGAGACTGGGGTCAGGAAGGAGCCAGTCTTGATAGTGCCAGAGTTCAGAGCGTAGATGGAAGAGGAAGGGCAGGGCATAGGTTTCAGAGATAGGTAGGGGTTCTGTAGGCAATCTGGGAGGAATGAGGGGACGGCCATAAATGACTTTGAAAGGTGAGATTAGAAGGCTTCTTTGGTAAGGCCCTAATGCACAATAAAGCCAAGGGGAGCAAATTTTCCCAGTCCAGGCTTAATTCCATGGTGAGCTTGGTGAGGGTCTAAGGGACCGATTGGTCCTTTCAACCTTTCTGGAAGCCTGGGGCCGGTAAGGGCAATGGAAATGCCAAGGGAGTGATAGCACGTGAGCCAGTCCCTGAGTTACCTGCGAGGTGAATTCTGGGCCATTGTCTGATTGGATAAAAATGGGCATCCCAAAACGGGGGATTATGTGAGTCAACTACCATAGAGGCCCGCTTGTTAGAAGTGGGAAAGGCTTGTTTTTTACTCAGGGCATGTTGGAAAAATCAATCTGCCTGTCTGCAGCCGGGGTATGACCGCGGGCCTGATGAGAAGGGAAAGGTTTAGGTTTTAATGGAGTATTGGTATTGGTTCTCTGGCAGATCTGACAAGTGGAAGTGATCTGTTGTAGGAGGGTCTTATTGCGTGGGGAAAGGGTGAAAAAGGAGTGAAGGAAAGTAATGAGACTCTGGACTAGAATGGAATAGAGAGTGAAGAAACTGGAAGAGTTGTTGGGGATCTTTGGGTCGATCGCCGGTGGTAACGAAGAGTAGTGGAGAGGAGGTAAAGCTCTGTAGGGCGGCTGATCAAGCTGCTTCATCGGCATTGGAATTCCCCATAGTAGTAAGGGAGGAGTCAGTTTGGTGGGCCTTGCAATGGATTATTCCCAGTTGGGAAGGCAGCCTGGAGGCTAGTAGTAGGCCAGAAATAAGTGTGGAATTAATGAGTGCAGTCCCTCTGGTGGTCAATAGCCCC